ATTTTCGTGTGACAAGTGACATTTGTTGTATTATTGTATTTTTGTGAGACGGTGGAATTGGTTTAAAGCGGTTTGTGCCTTAAGCACGGTTCGCCATTCAGTCCAAGAGCGTCGGCTAAAACGGCCGCCCCGGCAAAAAAGGACTGCGCTCCGCCCGACACGAAAGTGCAATCCACCCTAATGGCGGGGCGGGGCGGAGCGGGGTGAAGCGTGGCCTCTGTGCTGCATCTGCACTGGTCGTGGTCGACGTGGTGGGGGGGGGAGAATGACCCCCAACGCCCCCAATAGTCGTGCAACAGCACGCACGTTGCAAACTCGAACACCTCACTTCCTCCCCACACTAACGCGCCCCTCTTTGCTGACCACAGGAGACAAGATCGCCGCCATCTCCCGGAGGAAGACGTCATCGGCGGACAGCTCGGTGGCGTCGCGGGCGGCGCTCGTGGTGGCGCTACTGGTGCCCGTCGTGCTGCTGGTGCGCAGATAAGGCGGTCCTGGCCCTCGCCCTAGTTGGCCCGGAACCTCCTCCGGGCCTCCTCCGAACCTCCTCCGGGACTTCCCCGGAGCCAGCCGGTCGCAGACATGCTGCCGTTCGCGTCCGCCACCGCCAGCTTGCGCTCCGCGCTCTGGAGGAGGCCGTGGGGGCGGTGGGGACTCGGACTTCTACTAACTGTGATGATCGTGATGACCATGTGACACGGACACGTGAAGAATCTTTTTTATTTGTTTGATTTGGCCACAGTGGTTTCCTTTTCTTAAAAAATGCTCGGGTTTGGACCGTCGTTGTTGATCTTTTCTTCGAAAGCCTTTTCGTGCTCGGCTGTTTGCAGTTTGTGATGAGGCCTCCTCAATGTGATTGCCATAGGGCACGAGTGTGTGTGAATGTGTGAGTGCGGATCGTTTAAGAGATGCCTTGTTCAGAGGAACGTGTTGTACATTGTGAAGAAGGGAAGTGGCACAAATAGCCATCTGTACATTTACCTAATTAATAAATATCGTTCCTCATCGTTTTTTTGTATTACAATTCTGTAAAATAATTGGGAAATGAAGTATCATTCAATGTGGTTGAGACTGGAACGCATTGGTGAAGCAGTTCGATGCTGATTTCTTCCACCTTTGCTTTCGATGCTGTATCAAATGTTTTGTTCTTTTTAATACCATCATTGGAGGAAAACAAATATGATTAATAGCTACACTTGGTACAAAATTTATTAAGACTTTCACGGATCCAAATGAAACAATTTTCTGTGACTTGCATTCCCTTTAGTCCGAAACCACTCTGGTACCTTTCAATTATAATTTTGATAGCAAAAATACAAATGAATCATTCGGAATAAGTTCAATATCTGTGACGTTTTTTTGGAATTTTACCCAAGTTTGGCACAAATGGCTAGATATGACATGAAATTCTCTCACATTATGAATATTTGTCATGTCATTGAAATGATTGTTCCATTTTGCTCCTGTGACACGGGTAACGTTTTCACATTAAATGCTTGTGGACAAAATTGTACATATAAATCTAAGTTGTCATTTTCTTGTGCACTCTAGTTTCTCACGTGTATGACCTTTAGCTATCAAACTTATAGGTCCATAAAAAAACAAGAGTGTGTTAAACTGCTCTGTGCACAACACAAGCATTTAATGTGTGTTAAATTACATTAGGCTAAGCAAATTTCTTTATTTAAATTTTGGTTACATAACATTGCAGGGTACAACAACTTATTTTGCTTCAAAGATATACAAGTCTGTACATCTTCCAAATGTAAACTGACTACAAGACCTGTTCAAATGTTCAAATAATTAGCGAAGAGAAACAAATGTATTTCTTGAGCAATGTGTGGTGAGGATGCAATATTCTGGCAAGTGTTTCGTATTGTTGTCTGACTCAACTTAATTTGGAGTATTCTAACAAGCAGGTTTATTTCATACTTTTTGTGTTTTTTAACTGTTTGGGTTTTAGCAGTTATTTGTGCGTGTGAGCCTAGAAACTGTGGAAACTTTGAAATCTATGGTGAATTTAATCTCGTGGGGCAAGACGCTTATTATAAAAAATCGACGCCGTTTTGACTTTCGTCGCGTCGGATCGCCGTCAACGCTTCGAAATGGCTATATTAATTACTGAACTTCCAGACACAATTGTGAACAGATCAATTCTTTAAATTACATGAACTCACTGTCAGGACGTTTCCAAAAAGTTCGGCCTAACGTGTTGCACAAGCACATTTCCTTTGTTTGCTAGTTCTGGGAAAAATTGTGATTTTTAAATCTTTGGGAAATTTGCCTTTGTATTACATTTTTCACTCAATTTAATTTAAATGTGTTTGATCATCAGATTACAGACCAACAGTTTACCCATGTTCATTATTTAGGTAATAATGAATAAAAATAATAATGTTCCTCGCCCATGAACAGAGTGAAAATGTACTAGATCAGTTATTTTCTCCTGTACTTTAAGTAATTTACACCCCATATGTTAGAAAATCAGCAAGTAATACTGTAGGACCTGTACTATTTTCACAAATTTGCTACCACCAAACTCCTGTTTGGAAATTTAAAGTCTACATAAACTGTAAACTGAATTGATCAAAAGTGAAATCATACTCCAACCCTGCACTCTGTGTGGGTGTAATCATTATTATCAAAGTGTACCGGGGTTCAGTGAGATGCCTTCGACGGAGACGTACGACTAGGCGTCGAAAGAGACGTCCGCTTGGACGCCTATAGTCCGAAAATCGGCAGCAACGTCTCTCACCGGAATCACAGCACGCATCGCAATGCTGCGGGTTAGCCTATTCACCGCGGTCGTCAGGCGCCATAGTTCCCGCGGCCCGAGCAAGTAGACAGACCTGCAGCTCAACGATACTTGCTGTAATAAACCCGGTACATTGCACAGCATGCAAATGTAAATTTGTAACCCAAAAGCACACAGGATCGGCCAATTCTCTTGTCACTGTCACCTACCTTAGGGAAATATATCACATCACTCCCCTACAGCCACATTTAAAGAATCGAAAACCATAGTTAGTGTTAGGACCATTATTGAGAAGTGGAACGCCCTGCTCTGCAATGTTATCTTAATTTTAGCACTTAAAACCTTTTGTGTATAAAACATATGTTCTAATAAACAGTCTTCTGAGAACATGTAAACAATATTTAATTTCTGTAGTTCCCTTTCCCCCTGAAATTTAAGTTCACAGTTCAGCTCACAAGGAGAGTCATACAAGTGTAAGTGTCCGAATCGGTTCAAACTTAAGGTTTTTCATTGTTGACTCTATACTAAACGATTGCCGATA